GGTTGTGAATAAAGAAGTTGTGCCGTCTTTGTTTGTTTGTTTTTGCTATATAATTGTTCAAGGGAAAGTCTAAATATATAACAAAGCACTTAATGTATGGTCCCGAGGGAAACTAGTTAGTTTTGTTTTCCCTCGAGTCCTGATGTTTCCCTCGCCTTCGTCTCGGGAAACATCAGGACTCGAGGGAAAACAAAACTAACTAGTTTCCCTCGGGACCATACATTAAGTGTATATTGTAGTTTTCCCTTCCCGGCTTTTCCTATTTGCAGCTGGACCTCCAAAACTGGTTCCTAAACTTTATCTTAAGTCACTCTTAATGGAGGGGCCTGTTAAAGCGAATAGATGCGAATTGTCTCGAGATGTGAGTTGTTTTGTATTGTTTTTGTCTCAAAACAACGAACTAACAAAAATTTTACAACAATCCCGAGCTTAACTTACTTTAAACTGAGTGTTGACAGAATACTGTGGACAGAAAAAACAATTAAGAGAAAGTCACGTAAAATCAGATAATAGATATATGACGGTACCTCAATTAAAAGTTGGGGGTTATTATATATTATACTGGCGATTGTTCGTAGATCTGGAGATAATGAGATGTTTTCCCGAAGATGCAACTCCCGTGGTCTTGGATGACACTTTTCTCGCACGGTGCCAATCTCAACCTGGTTGTATATATAGCTACCGGCGAGTTTGATTCTGGGGGTTCACATTTGTTCGCTAATAAAATGTAAATTATATTTCTTGCCTTGTTGACAGTGGGTGCTAAATGTAGACATTACTAACTATCACGACCAACTGTCAGAATCTTTACTTGAGTTTGTAGGACAACAGCATTGCAGCTTATTCTCTGACCATCTTTAAAATCGAATGAAGAAAAAAGTTATACCAAAAGAAGTGTGTGATATCGCGTTAAACCTTATCCTTGCCATCGCATTTATCGTCATCTTCGCACGTGAGGCAGCCGTCATCATCACTGGGAACGTGCTTACCATTTTTGCTTTCAAGACTCAATCTGGACTCCACCCTAAACGAACTTGCCTTCCTCTAATCAACCTGGCCGTCACCGATTTAATTGTAGGAGAAGGAGAAGTTATAACCTGGTGGTCTATAGAATTCCGAGAACTGAAAGCAGATCCTTAAGTCTTCCGTGGGCCGTTCAAGCCTTTGGCTCGTAAATGCCAGTGATGTTTCTCGCTCTTATTTCGCTGGAGCGCGTTTACGCCGTGTTCTGGCCACTGAGTCATCGCGCAACAAGTGCACGTGCTTGCATTTTTAGCATTGTTATCGTCTAGGCAGCTAAGTTAGGCATTGGTGGACTGTCCTTCATGTTAACAGTTTACAATTTACAAGTGAATACAGTATATGTCGTTGCTACTGTTGATGTGCTACTCTTCTCCTGTCTGGTTGTCATGTGTGCAAGTTACCTATCGATCCGTTCGCGACTGTACTCTACAACTCGATCTGAATTACAAGCCTCCCACAGACGATCAACGCAGAACCATATTTGGCGTCTTTCGAAGACATTTTACATAGTGGTTGCTGTGTCGCTTTTCTTGTGGTTGCCTGGTTTCGTAGTGTACCCCATAAACGCATTCCGTTGGCTTTGTTTTTCGCCGACGTTGCATTGGTTTGTAAATGCTTTATATTTAGCAAATTCTATGCGGAATCCATTCGTATACAGCTTTAGGATGAAAATATTTAAACTGAGATGCATTGAAAAAGTGCTGCAAAAAATTATGGTAAAGGAGTGATTCAGCGTTCCTTCCGTGAGCGGGCAGTGAAGACACTGGATCGTAAATACCATCGTAAGCGCCAGTAGACGGCTGACACTTCAAACTAGTCATTTTCCTACGTTTTCATATATCCCCGTTTATTTTCAAACTTTTTCGGAAAGTGTTCAGTGGAACTTTCAAGAAAAAAAGAAAGAACTCATTGCACAGAAATAGAAGAAGTTCTACAGGGACTATTTGCCACATATGGAAAGGAGGAAAGTAGTTTCTTAAGGAAACGACGCACTTTATAAATTCTTTGTTCAACAAATAAAAGTCTCGACTGTGCTCTGTTCTGTTGGAAAGCACGCAGAAGCGGTAGCGCACGAAAGAAGTGTAGGGGAAAACACGAGATGAAGTCGAGTGTTTGTCCTTACCTCTTGATTGCTCTACTGCTTCCTAAGTGCTTTACAACAGAATAAAAAGAAAGGTGCATTTTTTTTATATTGTTTTAAAAAGAGCTTAAAATTTTCAATAGTTGGAATATTTTCTTTGCTTCTTCAAAGCCAGATTAAGGATCTCACAAGTAACAGAATAAAGCTAATTGTAGTTTTGGTTTTTTTTTTAAGTATCTGGCTTCACGTCCAAGACGACAATTTAAGATTTATTGGTTAAGAGTGTACTCAACGGATGAAAAATACGATGCTTCAAAAAAGCAATAAGGTGTTTCCAGGAAAATTCTATTTTGCCGCAGAACCAGAAAAGATAGGTTGAATTCTCAGATTCCTCATAGTAATATGTACACCTGTTGTCGTATTTTTCCCATAACTAACTACGTGGGTAAATCTTGATAAAAGATAGCTTGATGTAATATATTGTGTGCTGACTTTTATTCGCCCACGAAATTTTCCTCGCAAAACTACCGTAATATATTTGCTTTTCCGTCATTTTTACGATATTAGCGTTTAAATTGCCGCTATTTATTTGCCAAAAGCCACCTGTATTTACTCCTGAAGACAATTAAAATTTAACGAGAAGTAGATGACCTATTAGCTATCTTTCTAGATGCATATGATTTATATTTTGTGTTTTTACAGTAACACTCTCGCGATAAAAGTTAATGGTAAATTTCCAAAAATGGACCATGATAGAATATTCCAAACTAATTCGGAAAACAAAAACAGACCGATATAATATTCCAGGTCTATTTCGACTCAAGAGATGTTAATATCTCGGAAAATTTCGCTGTACGCGGCGATCCATATTTGGGCAAATTCGGACCCGAATGTTTGGATTTATGCCCAGTGGTAGTATTAGTAGGTTTAGCGACATGTGAAATTTCTTACTACGAAAAAGAAATAGTAGTGATCCAAGAGCTCTCGTGGACATTGGAGATGTTCAGTTCGACTACGTCACTATATACTTTCCCTCTGAGATTCATTCGGCGTATTGACCAGTGTGGATATTGATTTACAACCCCTTGACACGGAAATAAACGTTTTGATTGATTTGGTTTGTAGCTTCATTTGGGCTTGCAGTATTACCGCTTCAATTTCAGAAAAGACAACTTCGTTTAAGCATGTTGCATTTTTACCTAAACAAGAGATAATTAAAGCTACGGGAAATAATTATAAATGTTGGTGCTGGCGAAAAGATTTACATGTGCACTCCACAGCTTGAATGCAAGTCGAATAACTCGGGAAATAACTTTTCCCAGCTACAAACGGAAGCCGAACCCATGACCTCTCAAGGAGAATAATAGTTGTGAGCACAATGTTTCAATATCTAATATCGACAGACAGCGAATAAGGTAAATAATTTCGGTAGTGATGAATTAGGAGTTACTTGCAGTTACGTGTCCTCGTCTAAAATTGTCCATATGTTTCCTACTCACTTTAGTAAAGCTTGCTTGGGAGAAGTTTTACTTATGTTACAAAATAATGAGCCAAGACCTCTCCTATTTATTGGAGCAACTACTTTGGGAAAACAATTAATGGTCCTACAAAATTACCAGTGCCTAAAACTGTGTTGTGTGGCAAGTAGAACATACAAGAACAAAATATAATTGTATGTTTGATCAGTCTTGAGGGAATCGCAAAAACACTTCAATTTCTACTTTTTGTATTATAATAATAAAGAAAACTACAAATGAACACTATTTTGATGGCATTGCTTCAAATAATACCAAAATGCGTCTTGCAGTTTTGTTTTGAAGCCATGAAAGTTTTATTGGTTTTACTTTACGCGGTCTCAAGAAAGAGATTTTTATCTTAAGGTCACTCCCATTATAATTTTTCTGGTAATTTTTGGTAAGGTAGATGGTCAAGAAGTAACATGTCCCATTGTAATGGTTGCAATCAGCAGAATGTAAAGATTTACGATTTGTTAGAAGTTTCTGAACTAACCTTTATTTCTTTAACAACTGATTTTCTTCTGAAGTGGCTTAACCTAAAGCAGCACATAACTAAACGTTTTAGCTTTTCATTCATGTTCAGAGTAGAAGCTTTTAATTCAGTCAATGTTTGAATCACGAGAATTCAATAAAGACAATGGACAGCAAATTGTACAAACGAATATCACTGTCAAAACAGCCAAAGTGTACAATAAAGTTCTGTACAGACGTTTGCCAAGTTTTTCAGTTTATAAGTGCGTGGTAAATTCTTGGGGTGCGTTTTGCACTCGGAAGGTAACACGTTTTAAATCAACGCGCTTTTTCAAGCATTTTTTCAAGGAATCTTTAAATATTTTCATCCTAAATCTATACACGAATGGATTCACCATCGAATTTGCTAACTGTAGACCTAGACCAAACCACAGCAACGTCGAAGAAAAACACTGCCAACGGAATGCGTTGATGGTGTACACCACGAAACTAGGCAACCAAAAGATAAGCGACACAGCGACTACTATGTAAAATGTCTTTGAAAGTCGTATATTCTGGTCTCGCGTTGATCTTCTTTGACCATCCTGTAAGTCAGGTTTTGTAGCGTACAGTCGCGAACGAATAGATAAGTACCTTAAGCAGATAATGACGAGTGAAATAAAAAGGAGGAAATCAGCAGTAGCCACGGCATAAACGGTATCCACATCTGCGTGATATACTGTTAACAAAGACAATCCTGTGATGCATAACCCAATTACACAGACGATAACGATGCTGAAAATGTAAGCGCGAGCGCTTGTTAACCGATGACGCAGTGGCCAGAACACGGCGTAAACGCGTTTCAGCGATAAAATAGCGAGAAACATCACCGACACATAAAAACCAAAGGCTTGAACGATCCACCAAACAGTCAAAGATCTGATATCAGTTTTCGGAATTCTGTGAATCACTAGGACTACAACTTCTCCTACGCCCACCAGTAGATCAGCGACGGCCAGGTTGATCAGAAGAAGGCAAGTTCGTTTCAGATGGAGTCCAGATTGAGTCTTGAAAACAAAAATGGTGAAGACAATAATGACAACGGCTGCTTCAAGTGCGAAGATGACGATGAATACAATGGCGACCGTGTATAACATAATTTAGACAAGTTTGCACATGTGTTGGATATAACTGCTTTCTTCTTTTGATTTTGACGATCGCAATTACTGCCCTGTTTGTGTCACAAATATATGAGGCTATAAACGTCCAAATGATGTCGACGGAGAGCAAATACACCAGGAACAAACGCTAGGACCTTCAATGGAAGTGCACAAAAGCGAAGGATATTGATGTCAAAGAAACGTTTTCAATTTTAGCTGAGAATATTTTGTTCTGTTGACCTCCACTTTAATTTGCAATGTAAATCACAATGGATGTTTAAATAAATCAATTTGCAAATCAAAATATCTAGACTACGAAATAGTTGATGGTTGGCAATGTACTATAAAAACGATACGTAGCTGCGTCTCTTGTATCTTCGCAATAATTGTTGTCAACAAAGGCAAACTAAATCTAAATTCACTAAATTTTGCGGAGAGTGTCTAAAAGAGATCGAGAGTTATTTTATAGGAAACAAGTTAACGGCCTTTTTACTCTGAAAAAATAAATTGCGTGAGGTAACCAGATCTCCATTAAAGGTTGTTAAACTTTTGCAGGTGACACATTGACATACCAAGGTGAGCTTTTTCTTAATTTTTTTCATTACGAAGTAAACATAGTGGGCAAAATTACTCAATCCTAATTGGCCAACTTGCATCGAAATGAAATGTCCCTCTTTTTTGGGCTTAAATTTTGTAACACCTTACATTGTAGATCACCTTACGCAATCCGCAGTTCGCTTACAGTTTGACAAGAACTTTGCAGATATTAAAACTATAACATTTGTAAACAAGCTGAAGAGGAAAAACGCCCTGCTGCATCAGTCTGTCACAAACAAAATTGAGAAATCTTTGCTGGAGATGTGGATAATTCACATAATATCATGGGTGACAAATTACTTCTTAATTTTGGCGCGAAATTTCAGCGTTAATTCATGTGAAATTACAAAATTGCCATAGCAACATCTCTGGTATCTCGACCAGTGCCAAGATGGCGTCGAGATTTAAGACGGTGACCATTGAAGAAGTTCAGTACGGAATTAAAAGAAGCGGCAGAGAACTGAAATACGCGAAAGAGCACAATTAACTGGGAGAGGGGTTTTGAGAAGTGGTGTGACGAAAATAGCCTTGAGAAAAACCTGGAGATGATTCTTCCTGGGCAGTTGGATAAAGTACTCGAGCGGTTTTACGCCTCCGTTTGTAAACAGGACGGAACCGATTACGAACCTGAGTTCCTAAAAGTGATGCAAGCAGCACTTGACCGCCATTTGAAAGAAAAAGGTTGTTCTTTTTCAATTATAAAGGACAGAGAATTTTTCAATTCCCGAAAAGTTCTTAAGGGAAAGGCGCGTAAGCTAAGAAATTAAGATAAAGGAAAATTACCAAATAAGTCAAGAAGCCTAACCAGAGAGGAAGAGGAAGTTTTGTGGGAAAGCGGGCAGCTTGGAAATTCATCTCCACGGTCATTCCTGAATACAATGCGGTTGCCAAGAGCATTACACAATGAATGTGGAGCATTTCACGCTCAATAAAGACGACAACGGCAACGAGTTGGTAACCTTCACAGAAAGCCCGACAAAAACACGGCAAGGAGGTTTACGAGTTCAGCCGAGGTCTGTACTACCCAAAATGTTCGCAACTGGTGAATCACGATGTCCTGTGGCTCTTTTTAAGAATTACCTGTCCAAGAGGCCTGAAGATTTAAAATTATCTGGTCCGTTCTACTTAGCGTACATCGACAACCCCACCACAACAGACGTATGGTACAAGAAGAGCCGAATGGGTAAAAATACCATCAGTAAAATTATGAAATGCATGAAAGAAAACTCACCGTCACAAGATATGAGTCCTGAGAAAAGATTACCAACCACTAAGTCCGGAAAACAATGGTCAGAAAGCTGAAGGCCAAGGAAGTTCCAAAATCCGAAATAATAACAATAAATGGCCATCGACAAGAACAAAGCGTTGAAGCCTACGACTCCGGGAACGAAGACGAGCAGCGACAACTGTCTAACATCAGTGATGGCAAAGAAATCCACTTTAACCAGACAACCAGTCGAGTTCGATCTCCTTCAGCCGCTAATCCAGTCCACTGCAGCGGTGAGCAGTGGCCACGTCTACAATTTCCACAAATGTAATGTGGTGATAAACCAAGGACATGCCGGGCAGGCAAACGCTTCGTGCACAACAAGCCGTGATGTATAATTTGTTCACAACCATGCTCTTTGCGCGCCACCTCTGAAGGTTTTTCAACTTTGTGCATTTTCGCTAGACTTTCATTTAGGCAAGTTTTCTTAGACCNAAAAGTGGAATACTATAACATTGATTTCTGTTCAAGTTGACGTTGTGTTTTTCTCAAAAAGGAGCTTAAGCAAACCTCGACGGCAACGAAAGCGAAAACCTTAACGCTACACAACAAAAGGTTTGATGAGAAGAACAACGCCTATGCACGTGCGTTATAAAACTGTGTTCGTTTCTTAGCCGGATTCTGCAAAACAACAACGTGAAATGCTGAGTTCTACGTATTTAGAAGAACGTGGGCCTAGAGGGCAAATTTTTCATCTTTTCTTTTGGAAATGATCACTGGCAATATGTGTTCAGTTTGAGCAGGTTCTCAGGGCGATCGGTGAACCGAACAGACCCAGCTGAATTGCGAAATTCGAAGGTAAAATATAAATCCATTTTTTACTAGGCGTCGTCTTTGGCGTCGCTGTCGTCATTGCTTAAGATTCCTAACCGGATATCAGAAAACTAAATTGTGATTACTGCTACTGATATGCCAGAGCTTTGGACAATCAGAACTCATAATAAACGCCGCAGAAATTTGAAAACGGAGCTCTGTTTCTCCGGTTAGGCGCACCGTTCACACTGATCCGTTATGAAAACAGAGCTTTTCGAAAACGCTCTTCAAACTGGAGAAATTAAATAAAAACGCCGCCGTTTTAGTGTGGATGGAAAACCAAGTTTTGAAACGAAGCTTTTCGAAAACGATGACATTACGATAATCACGTGATTCCCCTGCTCGAGTTTTACTCAAACACAAATCCAAAATGACCAATGGTTGTTGCGTTTTAAAATTTTCAGTTTCCGGCGTAACGTGGACGGAAAATATTTGATGCGTTTTCAGAGTGAAACCTCCGCTTTTAAATTCTTCTGGCATAGCGTCGACGCGGCATTTACACACATTAAAGGACAAAATGAAGAAAATCAGTATTTTAGCATACGGATTATGGCCACATTACTTGATTGCAAAACTATTTTTTTAAAGCTAGCAACAAGGATGTTATTAATTTCACCAAATTCATCGGTTGTCAATTTTTTTTATTTAGCTATATCTACCTATCGCAGCCGGGCCATCAACGTAGCATCATAAATCAAATGATTCGCTCTCAAGGCGTGAGCCTTGTTAACTTGACTTCGCCATTGCCAATTGGCAATGTTATAAACAATTCATTCATTCAGGTCAAATTCCCAAGTATTATCATCACTGGAATCAGAACTTGTTTTGCCACCATCATAGGAGGAGGCGGCGTGGCCGAGTAGTCAGCGTGTCGGACTCGCAATCCAGCGGTCCCGGGTTGGAGTCCCGCTCTGATCACTACCTGGATTTGTTTCTCGGTAGCGCCCGAGTTCAAAGCCACGCTTGTAAATAGCCAACTAGTTTGCCTCCGACCAATTGGGATTCTTAACAATGTTATGTTCAATATGAATTTTTTTGTTTCAGTAGTTTGCTCGGCCCCATTAGCACTTGTGCGGCTATAAACATTGCCGAGGATAAATAAAGTCTGAATTAAAGTTTAATTAATCATAACCATTACTTTTTTCTTTTGTCCGGTTCAGCATTATTTATTTCCAGTACATGTGCCTTGAAGATTTGATATAATCGTGAATTGGCGTCCTCACTATCCTGTAGTCTAGTAGACGTGATAGCAATATCATGAAATGCTCATCTGCCGTAGATAATTTTTATAATCCGGCTCATTCAATTCCGCTCATGTTTAAAAAACATTCTCGGAGCTCGAGGGCACGAAAGGGAGCGGAAACGAGTTTAAACATGAACCACAAGCTTCAACGAAAGCTCATGAGCCTCTCACTTGCCGAGATGATAAAAAGACAAATCAATAAAGAGGTAAAAACCATCCATTGCAAAGGTTGCAATCAGCAGAATTTTAAGATTGACGAGTTGCTCGAAGTTTCTGAAGTAACCTTGATTTCCCTGATAACTGATTTTCTTTTAAAATGGCTTAACCTAAAGCGGCACATAGCTAAATGTTTCAGCTTTTCATTCACGTTCGGATTAGAAGCTTTTAATTAATTCAGTCAATGTTTTGGATGACGAGAGTTCAATAAAGATAATCGACAGCAAATTATACAAACGAATATCACTGGCAACACAACCAAAGTGTACAATAAAGTTCTGTACGGACGTTTGTCAAGCCCAGTTTTCAGTTTATAAGTGCGTAGTAAATTCTTGGGGTGCGTTTTGCACTCGGAGGGTAACAGGTTTTAAATCATCGCGCTTTTTCAAGCACTTTTTCAAGGCATCTTTAAATATTTTCATCCTAAAGCTATACACGAACGGATTCACCATCGAATTTGCTAATTGTAGGACTTGGCCAAACCACAGCAACGTCGGAGGAAAACACTGCCAACAGAATGCGTTGATGGTGTACACTACGAACCCAGGCAACCAAAAGATAAGCGACACAGCGACTACTATGTAAAATGTCTTTGAAAGTCGTATATTCTGGTCTCGCGTTGATCTTCTTTGACCATCCTGTAAGTCAGGTTTTGTAGCGTACAGTCGCGAACGAATAGATAAGTACCTTAAGCAGATAATGACGAGTGAAATAAAAAGGAGGAAATCAGCAGTAGCCACGGCATAAACGGTATCCACATCTGCGTGATATACTGTTAACAAAGACAATCCTGTGATGCATAACCCAATTACACAGACGATAACGATGCTGAAAATGTAAGCGCGAGCGCTTGTTAACCGATGACGCAGTGGCCAGAACACGGCGTAAACGCGTTTCAGCGATAAAATAGCGAGAAACATCACCGACACATAAAAACCAAAGGCTTGAACGATCCACCAAACAGTCAAAGATCTGATATCAGTTTTCGGAATTCTGTGAATCACTAGGACTACAACTTCTCCTACGCCCACCAGTAGATCAGCGACGGCCAGGTTGATCAGAAGAAGGCAAGTTCGTTTCAGATGGAGTCCAGATTGAGTCTTGAAAACAAAAATGGTGAAGACAATAATGACAACGGCTGCTTCAAGTGCGAAGATGACGATGAATACAATGGCGACCGTGTATAACATAATTTAGACAAGTTTGCACATGTGTTGGATATAACTGCTTTCTTCTTTTGATTTTGACGATCGCAATTACTGCCCTGTTTGTGTCACAAATATATGAGGCTATAAACGTCCAAATGATGTCGACGGAGAGCAAATACACCAGGAACAAACGCTAGGACCTTCAATGGAAGTGCACAAAAGCGAAGGATATTGATGTCAAAGAAACGTTTTCAATTTTAGCTGAGAATATTTTGTTCTGTTGACCTCCACTTTAATTTGCAATGTAAATCACAATGGATGTTTAAATAAATCAATTTGCAAATCAAAATATCTAGACTACGAAATAGTTGATGGTTGGCAATGTACTATAAAAACGATACGTAGCTGCGTCTCTTGTATCTTCGCAATAATTGTTGTCAACAAAGGCAAACTAAATCTAAATTCACTAAATTTTGCGGAGAGTGTCTAAAAGAGATCGAGAGTTATTTTATAGGAAACAAGTTAACGGCCTTTTTACTCTGAAAAAATAAATTGCGTGAGGTAACCAGATCTCCATTAAAGGTTGTTAAACTTTTGCAGGTGACACATTGACATACCAAGGTGAGCTTTTTCTTAATTTTTTTCATTACGAAGTAAACATAGTGGGCAAAATTACTCAATCCTAATTGGCCAACTTGCATCGAAATGAAATGTCCCTCTTTTTTGGGCTTAAATTTTGTAACACCTTACATTGTAGATCACCTTACGCAATCCGCAGTTCGCTTACAGTTTGACAAGAACTTTGCAGATATTAAAACTATAACATTTGTAAACAAGCTGAAGAGGAAAAACGCCCTGCTGCATCAGTCTGTCACAAACAAAATTGAGAAATCTTTGCTGGAGATGTGGATAATTCACATAATATCATGGGTGACAAATTACTTCTTAATTTTGGCGCGAAATTTCAGCGTTAATTCATGTGAAATTACAAAATTGCCATAGCAACATCTCTGGTATCTCGACCAGTGCCAAGATGGCGTCGAGATTTAAGACGGTGACCATTGAAGAAGTTCAGTACGGAATTAAAAGAAGCGGCAGAGAACTGAAATACGCGAAAGAGCACAATTAACTGGGAGAGGGGTTTTGAGAAGTGGTGTGACGAAAATAGCCTTGAGAAAAACCTGGAGATGATTCTTCCTGGGCAGTTGGATAAAGTACTCGAGCGGTTTTACGCCTCCGTTTGTAAACAGGACGGAACCGATTACGAACCTGAGTTCCTAAAAGTGATGCAAGCAGCACTTGACCGCCATTTGAAAGAAAAAGGTTGTTCTTTTTCAATTATAAAGGACAGAGAATTTTTCAATTCCCGAAAAGTTCTTAAGGGAAAGGCGCGTAAGCTAAGAAATTAAGATAAAGGAAAATTACCAAATAAGTCAAGAAGCCTAACCAGAGAGGAAGAGGAAGTTTTGTGGGAAAGCGGGCAGCTTGGAAATTCATCTCCACGGTCATTCCTGAATACAATGCGGTTGCCAAGAGCATTACACAATGAATGTGGAGCATTTCACGCTCAATAAAGACGACAACGGCAACGAGTTGGTAACCTTCACAGAAAGCCCGACAAAAACACGGCAAGGAGGTTTACGAGTTCAGCCGAGGTCTGTACTACCCAAAATGTTCGCAACTGGTGAATCACGATGTCCTGTGGCTCTTTTTAAGAATTACCTGTCCAAGAGGCCTGAAGATTTAAAATTATCTGGTCCGTTCTACTTAGCGTACATCGACAACCCCACCACAACAGACGTATGGTACAAGAAGAGCCGAATGGGTAAAAATACCATCAGTAAAATTATGAAATGCATGAAAGAAAACTCACCGTCACAAGATATGAGTCCTGAGAAAAGATTACCAACCACTAAGTCCGGAAAACAATGGTCAGAAAGCTGAAGGCCAAGGAAGTTCCAAAATCCGAAATAATAACAATAAATGGCCATCGACAAGAACAAAGCGTTGAAGCCTACGACTCCGGGAACGAAGACGAGCAGCGACAACTGTCTAACATCAGTGATGGCAAAGAAATCCACTTTAACCAGACAACCAGTCGAGTTCGATCTCCTTCAGCCGCTAATCCAGTCCACTGCAGCGGTGAGCAGTGGCCACGTCTACAATTTCCACAAATGTAATGTGGTGATAAACCAAGGACATGCCGGGCAGGCAAACGCTTCGTGCACAACAAGCCGTGATGTATAATTTGTTCACAACCATGCTCTTTGCGCGCCACCTCTGAAGGTTTTTCAACTTTGTGCATTTTCGCTAGACTTTCATTTAGGCAAGTTTTCTTAGACCGTAAAGTAAATTTTTAGTGATAAACTTCAAACAAACTTTCAAAACTTTATAGGACCTCGTGCAAAATTTTAGTTTCAGCTCATTTCAACGGGCGTCGTTGTCATTTCATTCATCAGTTCATGACATTATGAACAAGCACGAAGGATTCGAAAGGTATTTTTTGAGAAGAAACTCAGAAAATTACGAACTTTATCAATAATGTATGCTTGAAACTAAAACTATATTCTTCTTAATGTTCTCGGTTCTCGATAGAATAAACCAGTAAAAAAAGTTACAGTTGTGAGCGTAATTTGTCACCCACGATATTAAAAGGTAAAAGGCGAGGGAAATTATCAGAATTTTGACAAAACGCAAGTGAAGTTATTTCCTAATTTCACGAGAAAACCATTTGATTACACATACTAATTCCTGTGTGGATTTCGTTTTGGTTACAAAGATTATTTTGTCGTCAAGATTGATTGATTATTTTGGTTTGCAAATTGATCTATTTAAACATCCATTCTAATTTGCATATGAAACCAAAGTGAGCATTAAAAGGACAAAATAGTGCTTTTTTAAATGGAAAAGTTTCATCGACATGAATATTCTTCGCTTTTCGCGCGCCTTGTCGGGTTGTCTGTATTCGCTTTCCGTCGATATACTTTTCGACTTTTATCCTTAGATAGCTATGACACAAACAGAAAACTCAGTAATTATGATCTTTAAACCAAAATTTAGTTATTTCTCAGATTTCTCTATTAGTGAAAAGTTCAACCCATTTCTGGGCTGTAAGTGTCTTTAAATATGTCAAACCTCCCCGCTCAAGTCAAAAAAGCCGACTTTTTTAAGGGACATTAAAATGTTTCACCAATGCTCAGTTATTAGACTCTTCTGTCTCCCCCTGATGAGCTCTGAGATGTTTTCTAAAATTAAACTAAATTGAATGACCTTTTTTATGGAAATGAACCGAGCAGATGTGCATTATATAATGCTGCTTTAGTGCATACTTTATCACAAGATAAACTCTGTGAAGACTTAATTGATGAGGACATTAATTTCCAAGCTAGCGCACACAAATAATCTTGATTCGGCTATATTGAAATTTAAGCTCCCCGAAGCTGGAGAATTAAATCAGCCAGTTGGTTTTCTAGTTCGCTCCCTGTAAAATTTAAGGCTAATATAACTCAGGCTACTCAGAAGCAAGAGTCTAATGTTTACTTGTACCTGACGTGTAACCAGTGAACCTTGACAACCGCTTCAGGCTAATCTTGCTGTGAAAATAAATTTCATGAAATTTCTTTTAAAAATGACCAAATGATTTTGCGATGAAGTAATCTTCATGCTAAATCACTGCTTTTCTTTATTTAATGTCCTCTTTTTCTTCTTTTTTTGTTCCTTCTGCCTTCTTTTGCGATGGCTTAGCCATGCGTCAATGTTATACTTTGTGGTGAACTTACTGAGGGAACACGTCACATTGGTCGATCTAAACTTAGATACGAGGACACTTGCAAAAGCGCGGTGTCGCTGTGGAGAAGTGCTAGACCAATTGCAATTAAAAGTAAAAACAGATCGCAATGGAGACAACTAATTCGTCAAACCTGCGAGAGAGTGAATGAGAAAAGAGTCAGTAGGTATGAGAGAAAAAAAAGGAGACTAGGAGAAAGAAGAAAATGGCAGCAGAGTCAAATTTATGAACTCCATTAATATAGTATTCATTATTTATGCAAATACTATCTTGATGTGTTCCAAACGTTTCGGGTTAAGGCGGCGTATATATATTTTTTCTTATGTCCTCTAAAAGATTCTTCCATCGCTTCATTATGCTCAGAGCTCTGTCACATCAATGAGCAAGCATGGGTCAATTTCGATATATTCTAATCCTTCAGTACTGCCTTCGTGGCTTAGCCGAATAAAACAAAAGAAATCGTATCGAGGTTGAGGGATGAATGATTATTATTATTATTATTTGTTGTTGTTGTTTTATTCCACAAAGCCTCGGGGCCAAGTTACAATTTCAATATATCGATATTGACCTAATGCAGTAATTAAAATTAAGTTCCCGTGTGGTGCTAAGAAAAACAATAAGGACAGTCAAATTGACCACTTCTTTCGTGTTCAATTCTATAGCATCTGAGATCTTCTTACACACTCCGCAGCTGGCTTTCTTTTGTTTTGAAACTCTACAAATATTAAAACTAACATCAATTTCTGTTTCTTATCGTGCTGAAGAAAAAAACAAACTCAACCTTTACGAGAAAAGTGGCCGATTTCTCAACGCACTCCAATTTGATTGCCAAAGAAAGCAGGGCCGTTAACCTATTCTCGATTTTTTTGCAGAGTGACAACAAAAATTACTTTCTCGTCAAGATATTGGGTATGCACATTTATTTAAACCACCAATTTGCATTTGAAAGTAAGTGAGCAACATCACAACAAAATATTGTCTTAATTGAAATCGAAGGCGATTCCTTGGCATTAATATTCTTCGCTTTTCGCACTGCCGTTGAAGGCTCTGTCACGCTCATTGTTATATGTACTCTCAGATATCTATGAGTCAAGTTGAACAGTAATTCTTGATCTTCAAATCAAACCAAAACCAGCAGTATACCAAAACAAAGACAATATCATGTTAAGCGCAACCGCCGCCATTGTATTCATCGTCATCTTCGCACTCGAGGCAGCCGTCATCATCATTGGCAACGTATTCACTATTTTTGTTTTCAAGACTCAATCCAGACTCCACTTAAAACGAACTTGCCTTCTTCTAATCAACCTGGCCGTCGCCGATGTCCTTGTAGGAGTAGGGGAAGTTGCAGTCCTCATCATGCACAAAATCCCGGGAACTGAAAACGGATCCCTGAGTGCTTCCTGGGCATTTCAAGCTTTTGGGTCGTGTGTTTCAGTGATGTTTCTCGCTCTTATTTCTCTGGAACGCGTTTACGCTGTGTTCCGACCATTGCGTCATCGCGTGACAAGCGCTCGAGCTTACATTTTCAGCATCGTTATCGCTTGGGTAACTGGATTGTGCATTGGTGGACTGTCTTTTTTGACTGTATATCACTCAAAAGTAGATGCCGTTTATGCCGTTGCCACTGGTGTTGTGTTACTCTTCTTCTGTTTGGTTGTTATCTGTGCGAGTTACCTTTCGATCCGTTCGCGACTGTACGCTACAAAACCTGAATTACAAGCCTCCTACAGAAGATCAACGCGGGACCAGAATTTGCGTCTTTCAAAGACATTTTACATAGTGGTCGCTGTGTCGCTTATCTTTTGGTTGCCTGGTTTCGTAGTGTACGCCATCAGAGAATTCTGCTCCCAATGTTTTCCTCCGACGTTTCTGTGGTTTATAAGTGCTCTCCACTTGGCAAATTCTATGGTGAATCCATTCGTATACAGCTTTAGGATGAAAATATTTAAAGATGCCTTCAAAAAGTGCTTGAAAAAGCGCGGGGAAATATCTGAATTAAGATCTGGTTCCCTTCGAGTGGAAAACGAACCCCAAGAGTTTAATACCCACTTATAAATTGAAAAATTTGGTTAACCTCTGCATAGAACTTTGTTGTTCATTTTACAATTTTTTCTTTTTTTTTTTCCTTTTTTTTTTATTTTTATTTATTTATTTATTTATTTATTTTTTGCAATGAACTATATTTAAACGAAAGTTTGGCAGAAAGATTGATATTCGTTTGTAAAATTTCCTCTGCATTGTCTTTATTGAATTTTCGACACCCTACATTGTAGTAAAAGTTTTTCCTGTGAACATGGACTGAAAAGCTGAAACTTTCGATCAAAACTGATGTGGGTGTATTTAATTGGTGTATTGATTCAGTATTTTAAGCTTATATTAGAGGAAAATCAATTTTAATAACTAAAAGTAATTTCAGAAACTTCAAGGTACTCTCGACTGGTAAACTTTTAAATTCTACTGATTGAATACTTTGCCACGCCAAGGAAAGGGATCTTCACTTCTCTGTGTTTCATTTCGGCAAGTGGGAGGTTCATAAACTCTCGCTCAAACCCGTTTTAACTCTTTGCCGCTCCACCTATGTGCCCATGAGCTCCGATAATGTTTCCTAAACGTGACCTCATTAGAACGAGATTTTTTATGGAAATGAAGTAAGCAGATGTTCAATGGGCGCATAATATTGTTTTTTTGTACCTGCTTGGAAATTAGTGAGCACGTCAATCCATGATTGGCGTAATATTGTTTTTGTACCTGTTTGGAAATTAGATTAGCGAGGATGTCAATCCATGATGACATGAATTTCCCAGAAGCAAACCAAATAATAATTCTGATGGCGCGAAAGAAATTCTGATCCTTTCGAAGATAATACCCGTGACCTTTGTGCAGCAAGAACGGAGAGTCTGCTCGTTTCCAGCGTTTATTTGGGGCACGGCGAAAAAATCAGCCCGACGTGCTAATTTTCAATTAACCGATTGAATCATGGTTTAGCTTGCATCATCGAGTTGCTATGCACTTGAGAAGTTAATTTGGAGTGCGCGAATGAGTTGCTCGAGGCGTTTCCGAGAGAAACTCTAGCTTGTAAATTGCTCTGCAAACTTTTCAAGTGCTTCATAACTCGATGCATGATGCACTGCTAAAAGCTTGGGCCAATTATTGTATAACAAGCGAAATTAGTATCTCTGACGCCATGGGCTTAATAGCTCGGCCTTGCTAGCTCGGCTACATGAAATGTACATATAAATATATGAGAAAACGGATGAATTTCGTGAAACTATATCCTTGTTGCTAGTAATAAAGATATACTTTTGTGAGCAAGTAATGTAACCATCTTCCGTGTACAGATCACTGGTTATTAAATGCACACGCAAGCACCCTCGCTTAGTGTGCTTGTGTGTGGTTTTTCGCTTTTTATTTATTAATTTTTTTTTTTTTGTCGCTTTTTTTTAATATTTTCCTTCCTTTGCCTTTGCACAGTCGCGCGTTTAGTTTTGCTTAACTACGTTTTTAATCCTAAATTATGATCATTTTGTGTGCCAAGGACAGCATTTATATTCTCTTGTTAAGACTTAAGTATTTAAGGTAGTGCTTTACATAAGCCTTATTAGCTTCCCTGGGCTTCTTTGCCTCTAATATACATTGGTGTATTGTTTTATATTTATAAATGACAAAAAAAAAAAAAAAAAAAAAAAAG